CCACCGAATCAGAGGACAGGGAACCCGGCAGGCTTTGATCTCGAGGTCAATGCCCTTGTTTTAGAGAATAGTCATCCAAGGCCCAGAGGTCAAGGGTAAAGAGCCCCAAGGAGGCCCCCACAAGCTCATTGCTCAGTCACTGCAGCGCATTCACTCAAGAATGAAGCCTAAAGCCCAGGGTCTAGACCCCAGTCCAGTGCTCCTACCTGTGCCTACAGCAGTCTCCCAGAGGAATCTCAACCCCAGGCACTAACTCCTAAGCCTAGAACTGTCAGCCCAAGCTCCTCCTAGATCTCTGTGCTCCAGCAGCCTGTTGTCAGCTGTTCACACTTCCTTGCCCAGCAAGGCATACTCAGAACATCACACCCATCCCAGAGCTGCCAATGGCAGGGCCTGGATCTCACCTCAGGCCTACCTGAACCCCCGAGGCTGGGTGCTTCCTATTGGGCCAGGCTGTTGCCTGATAGTCACCACCACAACACAAAGTAGTCAGTATCAAGTTCAAGTTGGCAGAGGTCATGTTGGGTTCGGTAGATCAGGGAGAGGTTTCTGGAAGCAGTATTAGATCAGGGTTTTGAAAGCTAGGAAGGATCTGGCAGGAGGAAACAGGAGAGGGCAGCAACTCTGACAGAGGCAGGAAAGCTGTGGTGTATCTGAGGGACGACACTGAGCTTCTCTTACCGAAATAAAAGTGTGAAGGGGACGGACGGCAGTTGAGGCCACAAAGGATGCTGGGATGAGATGAGGGTAGGCCTTGAATGCAAGTCAAGGAACAAGGGAGCCATTGTAGATTCTTGAACAGGGGAGCAACATACCTAGCAGGGAGCGAGAATTGCCAGGCAGGGGTTGGTTGGGGAATAGAGAACAGATGAGGATGAGGAGGGGGACTCTCTCTTAGTAACCTGCTCGGAGGAGTTTACCAGATTATTATTCTAGGATTTATATTATCAGATTAACTAGCTGTTCCATAGTGGACTGGAGATAGGTAAGTTTCAGTGGAGGAAGGAGAAGCAGGCAGCCACAGGACCTGGGAAGGGCAGACTGGAGGAAGGGTACTTTACTTAGACCTTCGTAGCGGGTAACGCCAGATTCTTGGGGGAGGAGGTTATTGGAGGTTAGTTGGAGCTGGGGACTGTTTTCTGCTGGATGAATGTTTTCCTTGTGCTTTCCCAGGCAGCCTCCGAAGGCAGCTCCCAGGTGAGTCCATGCCCTGACCCACGGGCACCTGGCAGCATATGCCCCAGAAGCCAGGAACCTGAGTTCAAGACGCAGCTCTGCATGCACTCTTATCCTTAGGTTCCTCAATAAATCACCTGACCTTCTCACCATGGGCTTAAATGAAAGCCAGATCTGAAGTGCCTTGTAAACTATAAAATGCTGAACCAACATAAAGGTTGTTCTATTTTCCCCTGATTAAGCCCTGAAATGAACATCTTGCCCCTGGAAGGATCTTAAATACAGATCTCAGCCACATATCCAGCAAGGAAGGCGGCCATGCCCTGCCCTAGGTCAGAAGCTGATGATTTTTTAAGCAGGGCAGGACTTCTGGGACTGCCTGAAAACACTTCACAGAGGTGGGATAGGGGCTCCCAGCCACAGGGTTAGACCTGAGACTCTCACTCTGCAGTGCCCTGCAGGAGACCTCTGTGGTGGGAGCCACGCCAGGGGGAGAGTAAAGGCCTTCCAAGTGTCTTTATTGGGCCTGCTATAGCCTGCTTCTGCCAGAAAGCCTGGGAGTGTTTTGCTTTCTACTCTCTTGGAGATGTGAATATGGAGGTGGCGGGGGCCCACTCTAAGGCTGGGTGCCCAGAGCCTCCTGGGCTTAAAACTCTGCCATGAATTCTAGGCAGGAAGGAAGGGTGTGATTAGGCACATTCCACATGACGAGCACCAGGCAAAGCTCTCCACATCTATCACACCACTAGTGATTTTGGGCAAGTCATCCCTCTTTGGGCCCCAGCTTCCACAGCTGTTAAGTGAGGTGAGCTTCCTGATCCCTGAATGATCTATGTTTATATCTCCTTCCCAGGGCTCCCCCAGCACCTGGCTCTGTGCCTATTGGAGCATTTCTTGCATTCGTTCATTCACCACACATTTATTGAATAGCCCCCGTGCAAGATGCTCTGCTGAGGGCAGAGGGCTTGTGGGCTTTCAGAGGCGAATAAAACAGGGCCCTATGGTCCAAGACCTCGTGGTCTAGCAGGGCAAATGCTACTAAGCAGGGCCACATCAAGGTTCTGCCAATCCTCCCCGCCTACCCCTTCTCTCCGCTCCTCTCTGGTTGTGGCCATGCTTCCTATCAACCACCAGAATTTTTCTTATGCCATTGTGCCGCCATGAAATGAACCTCTTTTCCATTTCCTTCCCACTCCACATTTTAAGGCCCAGCTCCAGTGCCACTCCATCCGTGAAGCCTTCTACAATTCTTCCAACTCCAAACAAATTAACCCTCTTTTAAGCTACCTCCCAGGCACTTTCTGCCTCTCCTTGTGACGTAGATCTCATTCTTATATTCTAGTTGGTGGTGCCTGTGTCTTTTTTTCGGGAGGGCAGGATGTTGTCTGATTCATTTCACAGTTCCCAGAATAGTGCTTAGGGCCTGGCATACAGTCGGAGGAAAGAATGGCCCAGGCATGTGACAGTAGAGGTAGGATTAGCATGGAGAGGAGGGGACCTAGGCAGAGGGGGAGGGCTGTGGAGTTCTGAAAGGAGGAAATGGCTCATTTTTGTGTGTTGTACAAGTCTGACTGTCCTGCCATGCTGTGACTGGGGCATGGCAGGACAGTCAGACTTGTACAACACAAAAATCTACAGCTCTGGCCCCCAGGCTTGAGCAGGAAAAGGCAAGCAGATAAGCTGATAGCCAGCCTGCTTTCACTGGGCCATGGCTTTCTCTGTGGCTTCCTCCATGTGCCCCCTGGATCCCCATCCAGAAGCTGAAGCCTGGCCAGGCAGGCAGAAAAGGGAGGCTGTGCAGGGCAATCTAGGGAGAGTGGTCACAGTGCCTGTGCTAGGCACTGCACTCAGTGAATTATGCACATTAACTCACTTTATCTTCTCATGCTGACTTGAAATCCAGATCATCTCCCTCCACTGAGTGAATGAAGAAGCTTGGATTCAGCGAGCTGAAGTCATTTGCAGAAGTCTCATACAAGTGGAGGATTTAGAACTCAAACCCAGGTCTTTGAAGTACTCTTGCATGCTGGCTGAGGGTGTGAGCAACTTAAAAGAAGAGCTCCCAAAGAGCTGGGAAGAGGGCAGACAGGGTCCTGGGTGGAGAGACCAGGTCTGTGCTTCCTTGTCTCCCTCAGCCTGTCCACCCCACAGGTTGTCAACACTGGGAGGCCTCAAGCTGGGTTGGCAGCAGTTGTCCAAAATCGATGGCAGAACAGAAGGACAAGGGCTCCAGAGAGAAATGGCCAATACCACAGTTCCCAGAGTCAGGGCAATGGCTAGGCTTAGGAGCACCAGGCAAGCTCTCTACCATTCTGGGTAGGGAGGTCCTGTGCTATGGGGGCCTGATCTTACTTAGAAGAGCTCATTAAACAGTACCTAGATGGGGAAACTGAGGCCCGGAGAGCTCAGATGTCTCATTCAAGGTTACACTGTGAGCTAAGAGTAAATCTGGGACTAGAATCCAGACTTCTTGCTCTTCTGATGCCCTCTGGCCTTGGCCTTGGCCTGGGTTGGACACTTCTGCTTGACACCTGCCCAGGTTTCCACATCAGGAGGGGAAAGGGGACACTTCCGAGGTTCCTCCGCCCAGCGCATCTGCCTACTCTGTGTCTCGGATCCTTTAAAAGGCGGGGCTTGTTGTCAGCCCCGAGGCCCGGGCAAAAGGCTGGGACTTTACTCAGGCGGCAGAGAACCGTCTGAGCTCCATCAGCTGACGCAAGCGCTGCGCCCCAGCCTGAGACACGATGAGCGGCAGAGTCGGCGACCTGAGCCCCAGCCAGGAGGAGGCGCTGGCCAAGGTGGGCCCTCATCCTGGCCCAGGCCCCGCGTCGGGTTCCAGCCCTCGCCCTGCGGCAGCAGCCAGCCGGGAAGGCGCTGGTTTGGGGACTAGCGATGGTCCTTGGAGGGCAGGCCGGAGGTGGTGGCGGGAGCAGCAGCGGGCTGTACCTGGCATCCCGTGCTCCTCGGGGCCGCCCCTCCTCCCTCCACCCGCCGAGGAGGCCCTGGGGAAGTTTGGTCATCCTGGCCCTAGCCCGGAGCGAGCCCCTGCAGACTCCACCCAGGAAGAAGTGGTTGCTTGGAAGCCCTGAGAGGTAGCTCAGGGCACAAAGGCGACATTCATGCTTGGAACTGGCAGCCAGGCTCTGGGGGCAGGGACAAGGCCCCAGGTTTCCTCCCATTTCGGGGAGGTTTTCCTCTTGCAGGGGCAGTGGCGCGATGGAAGGGGCCCTGGACAGCTCCTTAGGAGACTTGGATAGCCTCTGCTCTGGTCCTGAGTTGCTCTGCGACCTTGGGCAAAACCCATCCTTCATCTGTCTGCTCCTTGATGAGGAGATGATGTGGAAGAGAGCACTTTCCTGTGTGAAGTCTGGGATCCTTCCAGTGACTCAGTAGGTGTAGGGCTTGTTTGAGCTGAAACCAGCCCTGCTCTGTCCTCCATGGCTAGGGACTTGGGCTGA